CTACAGGCACAGATTTCCCCACAAATAAAAAAAAAAAATTGTTATAAGTTGGGGACCCACCCCTAAACCCTAGAAATTAATAAATGGTAGGATTTTGATTATTTGGAGCATTGAAGGGAAGATTGCAGGCCAGTGGAATAATACGAGCTAAGCTTTCTTTCCAAGCCAGTGCCTTACCTGGGATAGAGGTGTTAACATGACAAAAGGTGTTGATGACCCATCTAAGAGGAATCCTTGGGCTGAGCAGACAGAGGTCACCAAGGTGATGGTGTGTGTGAGAGAGGTGATAGGAAAAGAGAGTCTTTAGCAAGGTGTGCTGGGAAGGAGATAGGGAAGAACAAAGACAGAGATCCATCTTGGGCAGACTTGTTGAAGGCAGGCTGGGAGAGATGCCTTGGGACTCTAGTACTGTACTGCTGTGGGGAACAAGCTTCTCTTGAGATGACCATGTTGTAAAATCTGGACTTCCTCTATCTACTAGATTCAGGTGTAAATATGTGAATAAAGCATCTTTCTCAAAGCTATGACAGCCTCCACTGTGTCTTCAATTCTCCAAAGGAGCATAGACCCTGGTTGAGGACCAAGACCCCTGGAATCCTATGCATGGCTCAGCAGAGATTGGGGGTGGCCAGTAACAATATGTTTGCTGGGGGGGGGGGCGTGGGTGGTCTGATTCCTCAACTGAGATGAATGGGACAGCCCTTGAAGATGTGGGGTTTCTGTATACACCTCAGAGCTCATGTGGTCAAAAGTAGTATGTGGCCAGATAATCATGACTCCTATGATAGAAGTGAGACTTAAACCCAGATCACCCAAATCCAAATTCAGTTCTCTCTCACTGGACATTGGATCTCAGAAATGCAATCGTATATGCAATGTTTTGTCATGCAGATCACTAATATCCTTATTTTATAACGAGATTCCATCATTACTTTTAAATACATAAGGGTTTCTTATTAATTTACCTCTCTGGAATACTGCACAAGCAAATAAAAAAAAAATGAGACTATATATTTAATTTTTGGCAGTAGAGTGAGAGAAACGTAATGGCAGGAGCTGATGGGACTTAAATGAAATTGTGACAGCGACAAGGTTTTAAACTTGTGTTTCAAACTTGTGTGGCGGCATTAAATGTTAATGTGATAATGAGGCAATTTAGTGTCCCAAAGTAAAAATTAGGTCCAAATGCTAAGGGTCGTATGCTTTTTGTGCAATGTGCAGTGAATTGCAAATTGCATTTGAGGTGTTGGCAGAAGGCCTCCTGCCCTAGATATCTGAAGCGATTTTAATCTCCTCCTGCTTCCAGGCAGATTCTGAGATCTGCATGACCCCTGTTGTTATGATGGCTTTGTGTGCTCCCGTGGGGCTGTCAATTGGCCAGTGCCAGGCACGCTGAATGAATGAATAATTCTGACAGCTTCAGATCCTTGCAGGAATGCAAGCTGTTGGGGAAAACAGCTTTATGTTTTGGATATTTGCTACTGAGTCAGCTTTTGGAGGGGTGGAATCAGTATTGGAATTCTCAGGATAAATCACATGTGATTGTTTTACACGTTTTGTTTTTTACCCCACACAACAAAGACTTGACAAATCAAGCATTTGCTCAAAGGCTGTATTTATTAACATAACAAAGAAGAAATTGTGTCACTCAAGCTAAACAAGGTATAATCTGCACAAGTAGGTAGGAAATTGCCCACCTGCTTCTGGGAGCCAAACCACCCCAGATGAACTTCACCACCCATGGAGGTATGGTGCTAGAAATAGCACCTCCCCCGAAATGGCAGTCATGGGTGTGCCACCTGATATGTGCTAGCCACCCCCACTGCTTAACAGATGGCACAAACAGATCCCGAGAGTTGCCCCCCCCCAAGCCGGTCAACAATAGGAGGAAATTTGGGGATGGGATTCAAGATTATAGGGGTTTCAAAATACGTTAATGGCTTCTCATCCTTCCAAACCTGGATGTTTTCAGCAAAACTTCCATTCCAGAAGCAAAACCTGATGGTGATGGACAGCACCCTAAGGCACTATGGCTGAAGGGCCATGTTAAAATCCATGTGCCTGCCCACACTACACGGTACCAGTAAGATTAAATCCTACCCACCAAAAACCAATTGAATTAAAGGTAGGGCAGAGTAGGTGAACAAGGGCAATCAGAGAGATCCCCCCTCCAAATCCTACTAAGACCCATATGGTAACTAGCAAAAGGCTACACTGCTCAAAATGTGGGAGGGTGTCCTTGAGGGAAGGGCTTACCTCATGTAGAAAGCTACATGAGGACTCCCTCCCTCCCTTTGAGGATGAGGGCTTTGGGACCCTCCCTCCTCCAGGCTAGGAATAAGACCATATAGCTTTGTTTGGTCTTACTGGTCTTCCTTCACAGTGTGTGTTTGCATTTCCTGGGCACACAACCTGAAGTATATTTTCACAGAAGTAAACTCTACCAGATTCAGCAGTGCTTACCCCAAGTTGCTCTGCACTGGCTTTGAGTTTCAGAGCATTGAGCAGTATATAACAATGCGACATAAATATGGCATTTTCATATGCAGCAAATACAATCCCTTTTCCATGTTTCAATCAAGCACTTCAAAACCTCTGTAATAACTAGGGCTGTTCAGCAATTGTCATTTAAACTTACTTTCTGTTACAAAAAGAAATAGTGGGAGGATACATTTTCCCCATGGCATTCATCTTGAGGAAACTGCGTCATGTCCTTTGAACTGTCAGGCTGCTGGGCTAAACAAATTGGGTGTAGTTTTTCTTTTCATACTAGCCAAACCCCATGAAGGAAAGAACACAACAGTATGAAAATTGCTCCTAGGAAATTTAAGAGAAGGCTGCTTTTACTTCATGGCATGGGGCCTGCCTCTTGATGAATACAAAAGCATGCCACACAATGGCGTCTTGACTGAAGTATGTCACAATTCAGGAGGCAAACCATGCCACCAGCAAACAACTGTCATCCAGCATGCATTTCACTCAATTCCATTATCAGAAAAAGTTATATAACCTGCTCTTCAAAATGCTGGGAGTTTGAAGCATATTTTTATGTTGCAGATGTGGTATTGGTGGTATTACTGGTTTAGCTATGTACTATACAAAAACATGAGAGCTTCTAGTGAAAAAGGAAACAGTATTCTACCCCAGTATTCTATAGGGCACTAGTCACAATAAAATAAATGGGACTTGAGCACCAACTTGCAAGTAAACATGCATAAATCTCACAGGAAAACACATGGATTTCAATGAGATTTATTCAGGCCTATCTACTCCAGATTGGGTTGTTTGCCCATCAATACAATAAAGAACAGAACAAAGCATTACTCAAAATAGAGTTAGAATTTCTACCTCTTTCTCCACAACTTTTTGGACCCAGCACTTGACTGGGAAATCAACTGTATATAAGCTTGCAGGGCTTCGCTGCCTTATCTCGTACTGTGAAGTGTTGTCCAGAATGTATTTCCATCCTATTAGAAACAGTGGATTTTTATTTGAACATATTCTATAGTTTTGTACCATAGTCAGGACTTTGGTTATCAGAATATAAATGATAAAAAATAGGGCACATCACAAATAGTGAGATGTTATGTATTCCATGGCCTTTTGACTTAGTTATTGCTTTTATCTGACTATATATGTGTGTGTGTGTGTGTGTGTGTGTGTGTGTGTGTGTGGAAAGCAAGAATAACACCCCATGCCTCTGGTTCTAGTTCATGAAAGATTATGTCACAATAAGGGTGAAATCCTCTGCTCTCTTACCTGAGAGTAAGCCCCACTGAACTCAATGGGACTTCTGAGTAAGCATGTATAGGCATTCGCTCTAAATCTATTAGCCTTTAAATTGGACAAGAATCTTCCTCATTCTTACTGCAACAGACACAGCTACCCCTCTGGATTCTTCAGATTCTGTTATTGTGCTCCCTGCGCAAGATTCAGGGACCAGGGCTATATTGTATCAGACATTCAAATTTTATTTATTTACTTACGAAAAGGCATAATGATGCCGGTATGCTGGCAGTAGAACTCAGCATTATTCCATGAGGACAGGAAGGATATAGAAGAAAGAATAGAAGGATGACAAAACAATAACTGGGAAAGTGTATCAAATGACATTTAAAATAAAAACATCCACTAAGCGATTATTCCATATTATTTAAGCATACTTCTATAATATGAATGCCATGACGTTTCTTTGTGTCCCTATATAGACCACAGTTGACAAGTCCTTTCCTGTGAAAATCATGTAAACTAAATAAATGTTACAATATCATGGCCTGAAGTTCTTTCATTTCATTTTTACGTGTGTGTGTGTGTGTGTGTGTGTGTGTGTTTAAATGCAGGTATATATATAAGCTATGACTGTTGGGTTTCTCCTTGAAATGTGAAAAGAATAGTAACGTTGAAAGAAAAATACTTTAAAAGAATGTGTCTTGACAAACAACTGAAGTATTCTGTTATTTTTATCTGACACTCACAAAGCACACTTCATCATGAACCAGACAACCAAACAAATTTGGTACCAGTCTTGCTTGTCTTTAAAAATTCCAGGTGACAGATGTTGCGGATTTTCTCTCTCTCGAAGTATGTGAGCTTCGGCATAAGAACAAAAGACCCTGTCATTGGTCTAAAATGGCAAGTGAGTTAACTCTGGCACCATGGTTTACTAGGATCACTGTGCACAAAGAAATTCATCAAATTGCTTTCCAATTTAAGTTCACCATCCTATTGATTTCCGTGTTCGATATCATAACTCACCAAAATATATGAACTGAATTCCAAATACAGGAAGAGAAAGATTCTGAGATTCTTTAAGGTGCCATCAATCTCTATTTTGTACTTGCATGTTGGAGTAGTAGTAAGAATAATAGTAGTAAACAGCACCACAGACTGTGCCTGCAGACACTCGCAATTTTGCAGGACGGATGCAGGTGTATACTGGAATGTTAGCTTTATTCAGTTAAAGTGGATTATAGGTAATCAGGTAAAGGAAAAAGGTAAAGGACCCCTGGACAGACAAGTTCAGTCAAAGGCGACTATGGGGTTGTGGCGCTCTTCTCGCTTTCAGGCCAAGGGAGCTGGCGTTTTTCCATAGACAGCTTTCCAGGTCATGTCACCAGCATGACTAAACTGCTTCTGGCGCAATGGAACACCATGATGGAAACAAGTGTGCACTGAAACATCTTCCTGCCACAGCAGTACCTATTCATCTACTTGCATTGGCATGCTTTAGAACTGCTAGGTTGGCAGGAGCTGAGACAGAGCAACGGGAGCTCACCCCGTTGTGGGGATTCGAACCGCCAACCTTCCGATCAGCAAGCCCAAGAGGCTCAGTGGTTTAGACCACAGCGCCATCTGCATCCCTTAAAGTGGATTATAAGGTTCTGTGGCCCCAGTGCAACAAATCCACTTTTAAAATGAATCAGACTTTTTGTGGATTAGAAAGTGATGGGGAAATGTATCGAAAAGTGAAGGGGAAATGAATGTCTAATGGGAAAATGTATAAACACCCTACAAGCAAATTTTATTTACAACCAGTCCAGGGGGTAACACTGGCCACCTTTTTCCTACTTTGTCTCAGGATTGCCCTTGTAAAACTCAGAAGAGGAAGATGACTCTGCCTCTCATTGGCTCTTATTCTACCTGCTGTTTGTCTCTCTGCCTTTTGCCCTACCAGTCCCAATGAGCACCAGCCACCACATAGCTGCATATCTTTCTTACATCAATAAAAAATTATCTAGCAAAGAGGTGCCATATATATTTGCAATGTATGGCTGAAAATCCAGAAATGTGTATTTCATCAGAGTGCAACAATTAATTTCAAACACTTTTTGTTAGGGAGCATAACAACTTTTCAGGCACTGAAAAAAAGCCAGCACTTTTTTTTTTTAAGTGTCATATATGCAGAATTCTCTGTTAATTTAATAATACACAGAAGAGTGATTTTAAAAATCGTGAATGTAATTACAGATGGGGAAAGGAGACTAACAACATCAAATACTTTTAGTTCCACAAAATAATGTTTAAAATGAGTAGGCTATGAATATTTATGGAGGACAAAGAGGAAAAGAAAAGGTTGGTTTCTTTTAGGTGCCATGCAATGCAATGCAATAAATATTTACTCAGTGGTTAATTCCTGTGTGTTCAATAGGGCCTATTACCAAATATGTGTTTTGCAGCCTTAAATACTTTGTGGCTCCCTTTTCTTCTCCAACAGAGTCCTTTTTGCATTGCAAATGATATTTCTAGTCCCTCTGTCTTCAGCTGTTTTCTCCATCTGTTGGACTGTGATCACATGATGGAAAAACTCATTTGACCTTCCTTTTCCATGTGGTAATTTTGCACTCCATAAGTCCCTGTCCCCCCCATATGACTTTTATAAACAGCCTGGGTCTTGTCAAATCATATGTAAATAATAAGAAACGGAGGGTAAGATTTGTTTGACATCTTACTGCACTGCTTAATATTATCTTGCCATTATTGTGTAGCTTTGTTCTGTAATTTTTATGTACGTGGAATATTTATATTTTGCAGGTTGTCTGGAATGGAAAGTATGGAATAACAATATTTTGTACAAAGTGTTTTGTGCCTTCACCCATGGAGGTCGAGGAAGAGTGTATGTATAGATTTGGAACCTGCCAGAGAATGACGAAGTAAGTAAGTTGGTTTTTTCTGCCAACACCTGTTGCTCTAGGCTAGGGGTGGCTAAGGTGATGCTCTTCAAATGTGATGCTTCTTCCTCTGTGAGTATTTCCTTCCCATCCCCTGCTTGCCCCACTGTTTCCCAGTCCTGGCTACAGCCCTTGCCGGGATTCTCTTCCTCCTCTTCCTCCTCCCCATCACCCTGCCAGTATCTGACGCTAGAACTTGAACCAATGAATTCAAGTTACAAGAAAGGAGCTTCCAATTAAACATCAGGAAGACCTTTCTGACAGTAAGAGCTGTCTGACAGTGGAACAGACTCTCTTGGGAAGTGGTTGACTCTCCTTCCATGGAAGTTTATAAGCAGAGGTTGGGTGGCCATCTATCATGGATGCTTTAGCTGTGATTCCTGCATTGCAGGGGGTTGGAGTAGATGAAGAAGAAGAACAGTTTTGGATTTGATGTCCTGCTTTATCACTACCCTAAGGAGTCTCAAAGCGGCTAACAATCTCCTTATCCCTTCCTCCCCCACAACAAATGCTCTGTGAGGTGAGTGAGGCTGAAAGACTTCAGAGAATTGTGACTAGCCCAAGGTCACCCAGCAGCTGCATGTGGAGGAGCAGGGAATCGAACCCGGTTCACCAGATTACGAGTCCAGCACTCTTAACCACTACACCACACTGGCTCTAGATGACCCTTGTAGTTCCTTCCAACTCTAAAATTCTATTATTCTAACAAGGGTGATATTTCACCATGACCATTATATGGAAAGGGAAGTTAGAAATCTTTCTAATAATTAAACATGTAATAAATATTATAGGAAGCCTAGGCAATATGCAACAGAACAATGGTATTAAAACAAGAATAAGATAAAATAACAACAAGAAGAAAATAAAAACCAACAAAAGACAAAACACAAGTATGGAACGTTGTCTTCTTTTGTGTGCAATTTGCATGTAGCAATTGATTGCTGCTAATAGGTTAAAAGGTAGTTCAGCATTGGAACCTAGCCCTCAGCAGTTTTTCTTCTTTCAAAAAATGGAAAGGAATGCTGTTCAATATTTCAGCCAAGAATGGATGCTGACCCATAGACAAAAGGTTCCACAAGGGAAGCCATTCAACTAACTTACACTGCCTGAATTGCCAGCAAGTTACTGGAGGAGGTAGAAATATTTATTCTCTGTTTCCAGTCTCCAGCACAGCTCAGTCCAAACTATTGCTCTGGATAAGTAAAGGCCAGTTGCTGGAGATGCTTAGGCTATGTGAACAAGAAGGAATTTACCTGTTTGATTTCTAGCCAACACTTTCAGTCCTCTTGCTTCTCAGTATAAGCAAAACTGAAATTCAGTCTGTTGGCATGAAGGCATCAAACTTGCATTTAGAATTTAAGGCATTGCTTTCCTGCTACCAGAACATAACATTTGTTTTTCAGAGTTCACTAGACCCCTTATTGTCATGTTTAAAAATGTTCGGTCTGTGCGTTTCACATCTCACTCTTATCCTGTTGTTTAGTTCAATGAAGTCTAAAAATACAGTGGAAAGTCTTCAAGTCATTCCACTATAGCATTATGGAACACAACAAGCCTAAAAGCGAAGCTGAATGGGGGAATGATTTCACCACAGGCGCTCTGTTCCAGTGCGGTTACTGATGAGGCCTCCTGGAGTAACCGATAATAAACTGAAGCCTACTTGGAGATTTTGTGCTAGCCTATGCCAAACGAAATTAGAGTTGTTGACTAGAGTGTGTAGAGGGACTGAGAAAGATTCAAAAACTTCAGAAATCTCAGGTGGTTGAACATCATGCTTCAAGGTTTATGCCAATCTCACGGCGCCTGAGAGGAATCATTTCCCCTTGTGATGCTGCTTCATAACCCCTACTCAGCTTATTTTTCACACTCTTTGGAACCATCTGGCATAGGCCAATGGGACAATGAATTATAGGGGGATTTTTAGCAATGCAAAACACACAGCCTGCCACTCCCATTTCTACAGGGCTGAAGCAGGACATTTTGCTGAGGCAGAGTTGCAAATAACACTCCACGCCCCTGAAAAGTCAGCCTGCTTAGTAGCCAAGACAGAACGTGCACTTTTACAAGTTCCGTATAATGTTGGTTCTACACTTGTGAGGAGTCAGTCTTTTCGCATGGCAGCCCATATGCTTTGAAACTCCTTGACCATTCATATTAGTCAGGCATGTCAAACCCATATTTATTTCAGCAAGTCTAGCCAGATATAGGTAGGTGCCATTGCCATTATAAGAGAACAAGGGCGATGTTCATGGTGAATTCTAGAAAAATAGCACTGACTACTGTATACTTTTAGACTATAGACACCTAGGCACTGTTCAATACATTAAGCCTACTGATTTCAGTCACATGGCTAAACATGTACCCATCATCTCACAATGCAATGTCTGTTCTCTTGCTAACAACTGAGTTGTTATACCTCCCATTATAGTGTTATATTTGCAGCCAAATCCTACCCATATTTGCAGCCTAATCCTACCCATGTTTTCTTTGATTGATTTCCAGTTAGAAGCGTTTCTCCCTGCTGTCTAGAACTCCTGCCTTCAATAGGTTTAAGTTACAATAGTTTTATACTTTATATAAAATGACTTGGATCCTGATTTGCCCTTTTGCAAATGGAAGGGTTCCTTTGATTCATGGAATGGATTCTGATCCAGTGGAGGCTTCTGCTTTCAGAAGTCAGGGAAAGGCAGTTTTCCCCATTTCCCACTCAGCCCCTATCCCGATTGTGCCAGAGCTTTGCCTAGCCCACTGAAGCAATTTGACACTAGAACTCGTGGATCTCCAGTGAAGATAAACATCAGAAGATTCAGGACAAACTAAATAAAGGACGTTTTCACACAGTGCACAGCTAAACTATGGCACTTCCTCCTCCAGGAGACGGGGCTAGCCACTCACCTGGAAGGCTTTAAAAGAGGATTGGACAAATCCATTGAGGGTAAGGCTTTCAATGGCTGTTAGCCATGATGGCTATGCTCTGCCTCCATAGTCAGAGGCAGAAATCCTTCTGAATCCAGAACAGGATGCTGGACTAGATAGGCCATTGGTCTGATCCTGCAGGCTCTTCTTAGATTCTTCTGAGGCTACAGGTAACCTTCCATCAGTGGTCTATTCAAATGAGTGGAATTCTGCTCACTGGGATATAGAATCCAAGGCCTTCCTTTTAATTATTGTTATAGGCCACCTTGAGGATGTGTAATTAATTAGGTGGGGCAGAAGCTTCTTAAATGAATAAATATTTTAGCTCCTGATGTTTATGGAGGTTGCAAAAACCTCAAACTGAAATAAACTAAAAAGTGGATTAGTATATAAATGGAATTCATGAATTTTAATGGGGCAAATTTAAATATAAACAAAGATAAAACTGTTAATGAGACTATTCAGAAGTAATGTGATTGTGTATGTGTATTTTCAAATAAATCTCAGTTATCTATCTTCAGCCCAATTAGTATTCTACCATGTTACAACTAACTGTGAAGACTTAAGAAGAATGTATTAGGACTCATACTTCTAATGGAAGATATGGTGGGTAGAAATGTATCAATCGTGTGGGAGGTTAACATGACTAACAGAAGTACTGTGGTGCAATTCTAATTTTGTAAAATGCTATTTATACGTAGATAATGAAATGGCCTAACTAGCAGTCCTCCTTCCAATACTGACCTAAAATCAGCCAGGCATATGATTGTGACTTACACTATATCGTTGCCTTCTGCATTCTCTCAGGAAAGTAAAATAATTTACCATACATTTTTAGCTTTAAAAACCCCCATTTTACCATTAATCAGCTGTATGCAAGTCTGTTTTCTCTTTGGACTCTTTTTGGTGGCCTTTGCATTATACAACTACTTACTCTGTCCATACAGATAAATGGGCATGTAACTGCCCATAACAAAAAATACAAAGCTATGAAGCTAAAAGGGTAGGATACATGGAGGGGAGGAATCTAAACAATTAAGTTTTCAATATAATTATTTGGTGATAAGTTTAAACAAATTTGGGATCCTGGCACTAGGAACAGTTGAAGAAAAAAAAGAATTAAAAAACCATGGCTGTAGAAACAGAGAAATATCTTAACTGGAAGTTCTTCTATGCTGATGTTGCTGCATTTCTTCAGAAATTAAAGAATTACTTGTGAACAAGACAGAATTGCCTGATATACTCAATTTGCTGCCACTTTCTTTGTTCCAAGATAGAGCGGGGAACCTGTGGCCTTCCACATGTTGCTGAACTGCTACTCCCATCAACCCCAGCCACTGTGGCTTACAGCCAGAGAGGAAATGTTTAGCAACATTTAGAGTTTTGGAGCAAATGGAGAATCATGGGCTAGTAATCCCTGTTTAAGAGCTAAAGACCCAGGCCTGCTCAACACAGTTAGACATGTTTATGCCCATTGATTTCAATGTGCATAACCAAACTTAATTCTGTGTTGGTTTTAGGCACCAGTCCAGTGGTTATAAACCATGGCACTTAAGTGAAAAGTTAGTTTTGTTCTGAATAACTTTACCAGGCAGGATCATAATTTTGCATGTGAGAAGAGCTCATCCTTATCTCCATGAAATCATAAGGAGTTATCCTCATGTACAAACATTTAACACTGAGATACCCATCGTATCTAAAACAAGGCTTACTTTTCTTTATGCACTCAATTTACCAGCCTTCACAGTGCTCAGACCACAGAAGGCTAATATAACTTGGTTACTGTCAAGTATCACTTAAGAAAAGCTTATGTACTTCAGTTCCCCTACAGTGTACATTGTCTTAGGATGGATGTCCAGATGGTATTGACATCTGTTCCTTCCCTTGATTGCTTTTAAGCTCAACCAACTTGCTCAAGGCAAGGCACTCAGCAAGAAGCCTAGAATATTTTCTTTGTCCTGATTCAACCAGTGCTGCAGTTAATATTTAAAAACAGATTGGTGATCCACAAAGATAAATGAACAATGAACAGACTGCGTCCCAGATATCCCACCCCCCCTGACAAAATCAGAAGGGATGACCTTCTTCGATAGCTTGTAACACACTCATTGTAATCACTTGGTTTGTCATTTGCTCCCTGAGATGTGTTCATGTGTGGGATGCAGTGAATCAACGCACAGCTCATATTAGTTTCAACTGACTCATAAAGATCTAAGCAGCCTTGGAACAGACCTTAGAAATCTATGTAGGCCAGTCTAAGTTTTTCACTGGTCCTGCTGCATGTTTGGATACTTAGTCCAAACTGCTCTTGACCTAAGCATCATATACAAATGTGATGAATGAGTAAAAAAAATAATCACAGTTATACACAAGGTCGCCCCAACATCTCACTAGTATAAAAACCATAATATATGTCATAATGAATCAAATGAATTGTTCATCTAGGTTAGCATGATGCTGCTGATAGTGATTAATGCCAGATGCTTCAGGAGACAGAAGCAAGGCAGCTGGTTGATGATCCATTTTCTTCCTTCCCCCAGCCCTTCAGTTTCAATAAGCTTTTTAAGATGGGCTTGTGTACTGTACAGTACTTTCCTCATGCGTACTGTCCTAGAACTGGAACACTTGAAGATACGTGTGGCTTATTTAAGTTAATACAGAATGAACATACAATGAAGATATGGATAAAATTACTATTAAAAAACCCCATGACATATGAACGCATCTACACAGAATGATTCTCCAAGCATCAAGCTGATGTGGAAAACAGAATGGATTTAAACTAGAGACCAAATGCATTTTGTCCCCCAAGAGGTCTTCCACAGTGGTCAAATAATTTTTATCATATATTTTTTCACCAAAGGTTAGCCACTTGTCTATATAGATAAGGTGATATGACCAAACATATCCGTATGGTTACTGTGCA